GGCTAAAAGATCATATTCAGAGAGTAGTGGTTAATGATTCATACTCTGCATGGTCTGGGGTTGTCAGTGGTGTACCCCAAGGTTCAGTGCTGGGACCCTTACTTTTCAATATATTTATAAACAATATAGGGTCTGGGATTATAAATCCCATTTCAGTCTTTGCAGATGACACCAAGCTGTGCAGTGGAATAACGTCCTTACAGGATGTCTCCAATTTACAAGTGGTGTACCCCAAGGTTCAGAGCCAAGCTGCGGTTTCTAAAGCGAGCAAAATGTTCTCTTGTATTAAAAGAGCTATAGACTCCAGAGAGAGAGATATCATATCACCCCGGTACAAATCATTAGTAACACCTCATCTGGAATATGCAGTTCAGTTTTGGGCTCCAATTCACAAAAAGAACATTGGGGAACTGGAGAAAGTACAGAGAAGGACAACCAAACTGATAAGAGGCATGGAGGAGATCAGCTATGAGGAAAGATTAGAGGAACTGAATTTATTCTCTCTTGAGAAGAGGAGATTAGGGGGGATATGATCAACATGTATAAATACACTCTTTTGCTCACTGTAAAGTAACAATTTAAATTTTAAATTACATTTAATTTAAAATTAAAGTAAACTAACAATTTTTTGGCAAGTTAGTCTGTTTCCTGGGCAGGCACATTACACAAAGCAGTGATGACCCGTAGCAGATAGTGTACAGCTATACTGTGCAGACAAGCAGCACTGGTGCTCATTACCTGGTTTAATAGGCTGCAATTGCAAATGTAGTAGAATAAGCCCCCTAGCACAAAGTGGGTGTACGCTAGTATTTGCAGAAGCACACGCACTGGCGCACCACTCGGGATGCAGACGTTTATTCACATTTACACATGTACCAGCCCATACCCATGTACATCCACATCTTAAAATTGCTTTCTATGGGTAGCTGTACGCAGCAACTGTGGCTCCCAGGGAAGATTTTACACAAGTTCAGTTCACTATTGCATGCTGTAAGGCTCCATTACAGCTATTTGCATGAACCCTTAGACTCCATGCACACGTTCAAAAAAACGTTATAAAAAAAATGCTGGATGAAAAATTCTAATAATAGCCATTTTGTGCTTTTTTTATAGCGTTATAGTAGCATTTAGAAGCGTTTAGGGGCTTTTGCATTTTATTAGCATTTTACAGTATATGAAGGGAAAAAAACACTCGAAAAAAGCTGTTAGTAATATTTTCGTAACATGTATGAGTTCACAAAATTCTACAAAAATATTTTTTTTCTACTCCTAAACGCTGAAGCTTGAAAAACGCTTCTAGCATAAAATAGTGTGCATGGACACATATCATTATCAGGCGTCTAGCGTTTTTTTTAAGCTCCTAGAAGCTGTTATCTGCATTTTTTTCTTCTAGAAGGTAAATAATGTCATGTTATGTATCCATGCACAATATTTTAGGCTAGTAGTGTTTTGAGTACAGACTGTGTAAGAGATCCTAGAGACTGTGAACTGCTGTTACCACTCTAGTGCTGGAGTCAGTGCAGAAAAAGGGGGTACTGGCTAGTATCCTGAAGAGCCTTGTCCATCCTATTCAGTGCTAAAGGGACTCAAAGTTACTCAAAGAAAGAAGTTCAGGGTCGGACTGACCATTTGGAAACTCGGGCACTGCCCGAGGGCCCGGGACAGTAGGGGGCCCCATGAGATGCCCCTGGTACCTTTTTCATAGGCTTTTTTGAGTTTGGGCAAGGACACAGGGGCCCCATGATCCCCTATTGCCCAGGGGCCCCATGAGTTGTCAGTCCGCCCCTTTTTGTGCCTTTCCGCTGCTTCATCCGAGCCAAGTCCATTACCAGCCGCAACAAAGGCTGTGTTTTAAGTGCTGCAGAAGAAAGTTAGTGTCCTCATCTTGTACATGGTTCTTTTTGGATCATCCCTCTCATCCCCAATCCCTATTCATGTTATCCCCAAAAATAAAAACACCATAAAGAACACCCCTGGACCGTTTGCTGAGCCAAAGAGTGACTGTGTTTATGGGCCTAGCTGTGGGGCAAAACTAAGGGAAAACCCCTCAGGGACCTAACTGCTAGGGGTACTACTACACTGACTTGGGGCCGGCTCACAACACAATTTATGCATTCTGGAGGCATTTCTGCATGCGCGTTTTTGATGTGTTCTGGTGCATTTTGCATGCACTCTGTTTTTTTTTGTTTTTTTCCTCTTTTTTTCTTTATCTCAGTTGAGGACGTGTGTTTTGTCTGCATTTTGCTGCATTCCATACAGAAAAAAAAAAGGCAATATGTTCTACTTTTGCTGATTACACTGGAAGTCACTGCACTAGTGTGAACTAGGGCCATTGGAATCAGTGTTAAACACTGTGCATGCATTTTTGATGCAGAATAAAAATGTACTGGACTGCATCTGGTGTGAACCAGCCCTTAGGCCTGGTTCACACCTATGCATTTTTTTAGTACTTTTTGCGTTTGACATGGTTTCTTATAGGACACGTTCACATCTATGCATTTTCAGTCACTGCATTTTTGGATAGGGTCAGGAACCTTTTTTTCCCCGCAGCAGATTGCAACACACATAGACGTGAACCAGGCCTTGGAACAGAATTGAGTCCCTTCTATTGCTCTGCACCTCCTCCAAATCACTTTTTTTTTATGCTGCTGTGTTTAGACTTGCTGCTAGGGGTGGCTACATTCCAGGGTTGCCAACTGTCATTAAAATTACTGACAGTTTGCAAAAATCAGCGACTTTTACAACTGTCTGTAAATATCAGGGGCTGATAGTTTGTCATGCTGTGTTGACTTTAGTAAGTATAAAACCAGGTAAATTACTTTTTATGTGTATTGTCAGTGTCCCAGCGCCTGGTGATTGCCGAGGATCTCCGAAGGGGGTGCAGAACTGTTAGTAAACAAAACAGTTCTCCTCCCTGTCAGCTCCCACACACTGCTTTGCATGGCTGTGCACAGCACAGCATTAAATACCACCAAAAGAAAGCTCAATTTGTGGGAAAAAAAGGATGTAAATTTAATCTGGGTGCAGCATTGCATGACCACTCAATAGTCAGTTAAAGTAACGCAGCGCTGTAACGCAACAAATGGCCTGGTCAGGAAGGGGGGTAAATTCTCTGGAGGGCGAGTGGTTAATGGAAGAAGGGTATTTATATATGTGTGTGATTTTTTCTAAATAAAATTTTCATTCAATATTTGACATTTATAAAATCATTTTGTATTTACCGGTACTTAATTAAAAGCAGAGTTCTACCTGATTTTTACATTTTTTTCCCTATGTCTGTATTACAGGTGGTCCAACAATGTTTGGCAGGTTAATTTTTTTTTGTTGCAAAGTTCTCATACCTTTTGTTGCCATAATAATTGAACTTCCGTTGTACCTCTCTACAGCGAGGTACTTCATATCTGCCCACCCGTTGGTTCCTGAGATCAAAGAGTCATCAATACCAGAAATCAATGGGCATCCCCCGCTTGTAGCATCGCGATATTTCCAACTGCACTTGCCTTCTCCGGGTTGTCTTTTCATTGACAGGTTGCCATAACAACAGGGCGGGAACTTCCACTGTCGCCGCCATTGTTAGGGCAACTTGTTGTAAACGAATTGCGCAGCGCAGTGTTCTTATAGCACAGGAACGAGATAGAACGGTGCATGCTGGGATAGCCAGCAGCACCGAATCCAGGAAGTATACACTAGCGGGCGTCAGATGCCCACATCCTTCAGGGAACCTGCCTGCTTCCGAAAGATATGTAAGATATTTTAGATGTAATAATTAACAAGCATGATATCAGACATAGCAGTAGTCTATTATTATTATTATTATTATTATACAGTATTTATATAGCGCCAACAGTTCGTTCAGCACTGTACATTACAATGGGAGACAATACATGAGATACAATAACAATGCGATACACGAGGGGTTCGAGGGCCCTACAGTGCCGGTTGTAATAATTACGAAGGAGCTTTTTTAAAAAAAAAAATGTATGGGGACTGGAACTCCGCTTTAAATTAGTTGTTTTAGATACACCACGTGTGTCCTGTGAAAGCAGCTTCCGGAAGAGGCAAGGGTTTGTGCCTTTTGTATGTACCATTGTGACTATCTGAACACCTATGCACTTGTTATGCTTTGTTCCTTCTCTTTGAAAAGAAAAATTCTAATAAAAACGATTGAAACAGAAAGCAGCTCCCCTTTGACTGCTATTCTAGTCACCTTTTTTCTTTTGTATTAATACATCTGCTGCCAGGAGTGCACTGACTTAGTGAGTTGGCAAATTGGTACGGTTTAAACCATTTCACCTCTACCTTATAGGCAATAAAAACTGACAGGAGTTCTAATTCTTCTCCACTGTATCCATTCCACTGGATGGCACATGAGATAAAGTACCGCATGTTTCAGAAAATTAACGCATTCAGTATTTTAGTAGCTTTTGTCGTGAATGCCAAAAAACACTGAGCGGTATTTTACCGCATTTCTTAAAGTGGTCAATACCGCTTCGTGAATGGAGTCCACTGTCACTTTAACCTCCCTAGCGGTATGATTATTTCAGATTTTTGGTGCTGAAAGCGGTACCATTATTTTGCATGGAAATATGTAGTTTTTTTTTATTGTAGGCTGTAATTTTTAGGAATAACTCACTGAAATCTGTCCGAACAAGAGTCTATTAAACATCCCGGGTATGATAAAATTTGAAACACAAAATCATAAATTATAATTTAATAAATAATCATAAAAAATAATAATATAATAATAATACCTTTACTTTAATAATACAATCAAACCAAAAAAAAACACTGAAATTTGAAATATAGCGCCAAGTTCGCACATTGCTGAGCAAAGTTGCAAAATCATTTTCAGTGTCTGATGACGAATTTCCCCACGAATCATTATCACTCAATTCTGCAAGTGGTTCTGATTTACTATCGCTGTTCTCTAGCTGGTCTATAATCGCTTTTGACCTAAAGGGACACTTTTTGGACGCCATGGACGTTCCTCAGTTTCCAGGCAGAAAGAACAGACAAAATGCAGCAGGGCACAGGACAAAGCACTAGGGACAATATGTATGTGAAATGGGTTGAAACAGCAATGTTTTACTATGAAAAATTTGTTTTGAAAAAAATTAAATTTTTTAAAATTTTCAAATTTCCCGCCGCCGCCGGTGCCCATACGTCCCGACGTCACAGGGACCGGAATACAGAAGCCGGATGCCGGCATCGGCCGGAGGAGATGGCCGGGGACGCTGCAGGGGACACATCGTGGGAGCGAAGGACAAGGTAAGCTATGCAGGGACTCCCTATGCAGCGCCACATGGTAAGCCCGAGTGAAGCTTTTGGTACTGACATTTTACCCCGAGCTACACTCGGGAATACCGCTAGGGAGGTTAAGGCAGCCTTTCTCAACCAGGGTGCCTTGAGGTTTCTTCAGGGGTGCCTTGGCAAAATGTCTATAAATTGCCCAAAACCTCTATACAAGCCAACGGGTGGAACAAGCCTGCCTTTTAGTTACACAAAGCCACAGGTTTTCATTGCGCGCCATTATGACCTTCTAGCTGCCAGCGTCCTGACATCCAATGACACCATCAGCTTATAAGGAGGATGTCATTTGCAAGCACAGCATCCTAGTTTGACCCTCCCCTGTCCCTCTCTATCAGTGCTGGGGTCACATTAGCTCAGTGATGGAGAAAAACTGAGGGAGAAGAGAAACATTGGACCACTAGTCAGTACCAGTGTGCAAAAGCGTATTTGCTGTGGAAGAATAAATCCCCTCTACTGTTGGGTGTCCTACATGTGTGGATGTTGCTGCGTCATATACAACTATTAGAATAGTTTTTCACATTTTAGAATGGGGTGCCCTTTTAAAATCATGGAAAGTCTTGAGGCACCCCGTTTTAGAATGGGGTGCCTCAAGACCATCCATAATGCTAAAGGGTGCCACAGGACTATCCATAATTTTAAAGGGTGCCTTGACTGAAAAAAAGGTTGAGAAACACTGCTTTAAGCTAATCTCAGAAGCAATATCCCCCCTGCACCTCATAGCGGGTTTAGATGGGGTCTCCAAAGACATAGATGAAATTCAGAACATTCTTTGAGAAATTATTTCTGTTCAGTTCTAGAATCCCCGGACTGCTGCACAAAACCTCTTGCTGTGATTAGAAGATATCTCGTTTTTGGATTTCTGCAGTCAATCTCTCTGGAATGTCAGGGCAGTACATTTCACTGTACCCTACAATTTTCAGATCTATGACTGTTTGTAAATTGCATGATGCAAAACTGGGTTGTCATGTGTAATCAAAGCATGTGTTCCCAACGGCAAGGCAGCAATTGTTTCCTTGTATAAGTTTGTCAAAAACGGTTTTCTCTGAAAAGGAGTATGTGTTCTCAATAAGACGTGGCTGGGGTGTAAATGTAGTCATAGTATTCCATGCATTGGTTCTAGCAGCCTAAGGCCCAGCAAGGCAGGCACATACAGTGCTTTCGGAGTCCTTGTTCACCCCAGCATTGTAATCTACATTTATTATTATACAGAGCCAACATGATTCCTTGCACTTGTGTATACAAAGTCAGTGCACCCCCTCTACCATGGTTCAATGCATCCCCTCTACCCAAAGCACCATGGATCGCTTGAGGGTCTATTGATGTTATTCATTGATCTCCCCATTTTGATGTGTAAATGGTGTATTAGGACCCTACTGTGTACAAGCAAAAAAAATAACTTAAAGACACTTATCTGATTACAGGTTTTCCAAGCAGAAAGAGCAAGTAAATAATTAACGTACCCCCTAGATTTTATATGTTCATCGCCTAATAGTGATCACTTTAGACCATTGGGTGACTGTCAGGCAGTCTGTGCACCATCAGACCCCAGCTGACATTTCTGGATAATGAGTCCTGAAAGAAAGTACATTAGCTGGGTAATGTCTGACAGCGGAAACTCTCTGCTCATCTTATAGACACGTATACTTTTACAAAATGGATGGCATGCCTATTTGCTAACTATGTAGAAAAAAATGTCTGTTACCTGCTGACAATTGGTCCCTACAAAGCAGAGGCATAGCTAGAATATTTTACGAACTATAAAATTGGCGCCCCAGCCTCCCTCCCCGTTTAATTACATTAGTGACACCAATGATGGGGCACTATTCCTCCCACTGACACCAATGACACTTACCCTGCTGACCCCTGCTCCAGCCTAGGCTCCTTCCCTCTCCCATTCACAGCCAGCATACCTGGTTACAGCAGCACCATCTGCACGGCACACTTACCGGTCAGCTGTCTTCTTCACTTGCTCCGGCCGATCCCTCACTAGATCTTCACGCTGATGCTCGGCTCCTCCTCTCCAAGCTCCGCCTCCTCGCAGGTGATTGGCCGCCAGTGTGCCTTTCCTGAGCTACAGTTCTGGCGCCCATTCACCGATGAGGAGGCGGAGCTTGCAGAGGGAGGTACAAGCTGCCATAGGCTGTCCAGTGATCCCGAGGGTGTTACCAGATGAGAGGGGTGGCATGTCATCCCGCCCACACATCACGTCCAGGGAAAAGAAGACACCGGACCTGCAGACCTCTCTACCCCTCCTCCAGCAGCGCCTCCTGGACTAGATCATCGTGGGACTGGGACACGGAGCCAGGTAAGACACAGCCGCCCACTGCCCGCCCCTGTACTAAGTGTCCTTTCCGTTGGTGCCGCCCCCCCCCCCCTAAAAAGTGCCACCCTAGGCAAACGCCTTGTTTGCCTCGTGGCAAATACGCCCCTGGTTGTAAGCCTCATTTTGGTGCCCCTGTACCTTGGCGCCTGGGTACATATGTACCCCCCTGCCCCCCCCCCCCCTAGCTACGCCTCTGCTACAAAGGCACCCACATCCTCACACAATAGTATATATAAAATAATTAGGATCTATTTATATATATATATATATATATATATATATATATATATATATATACTGTGTATATGTATCAATCAGTAAGAAAAGTAAAGGTAACATCTATTTGATAAATTTATTTTATTTTATTTTTAGATAACCAGTTATGAGCTTATTGGTTACACAAGTAAAATGCTAAAGTTTCCCTCCAAGAAATGGCCTAGAGGCCTGTTTCACCAAAAGTGGAGATGCACTAAAAAGCATTAGATGCTTTCTGAAAGAAGAGGATTTAAATTCTTACTTAAAATGGTACATAGGAATATAATACAGAAATGTATGTAATTTATGAAGAAAATTGTTTATTGCCTAGTGATAAAACTTTCCTACAAAGGCAAGCACACTTTCATGTAGTGCTACCCCCATATAGACTGCTGGGAATAGTTGGTTCTTCGCAAACAGTTCCCACAAGCACCAGCCCATGTACTCTGGCTCCAATAACCCAGTCTAGTGGATGTCTTTTTGAAATCTGTTGCTTGAAGAACTTTAGGAGAGCGGTTAGGGCATGGGATACACCAACATGATCAGAAACAACAGCAAGAGGGCATTCTTTGCCCTAGTCTCTCTCTCACTGAAGGTAAATGGGGGCAACAAATAGTCTAAGGCCTCACAGCTGTAGACCACAAGGCAATTCTCCTTGGCATCTGGTTACCTTGCACCACTACACAACTATTAGTACCCAATGCAATTTCCGGGACAGTGCACAGTAACAGGAGACACTCTCCTCTAGGCTGACGGTCCAGGATTATGCTGAGGACAGGGGAATGGACAGTACTCTGAGACCCTATGAGAGCTGTCTCAGTCCAAGCTACCTCTGTCACTTATATTCCAAAAGTGTACAGTCACCAGGAATCAATTTAGGGTCTTTACTCCTCTGGGTCTTAGTCCCCTGGATAGCTGCCATCTTGCAGCTTCTTCCAGACATGGTCCAGTGAGGGAGACAATCCTTCTCCAGACCTGATCTCTTGTGGTGAAGTCCTACAGCCAGTTTTTAAGGAGATCTGTCCAGGTCCTCAGCTCTGACATCACTGGGGCCTCCAAGAACAGCTACACAGTCCATGGGCTGCCTAAGGGCAGCAGCCCCTCAGGCTGTGGAACCCTCCTGGGGAGAAGAAACAATCTCTCCAGAGCTTCAGACTACACCTCTCCAACCATCTGCTGGACACTCCTCTCCAGGGAATAGCCAGACTGTGATAACTATTCAGGCTGACCATTTGAATCTCCCTCCCTATTTTCTGGAAACTTCTTCCAGAGGCAGGGGAAAGTAATCAAACTCCCAGTCTGTGAAACTCTGAAGAGATTTTTTTTTCTAGATAACTAGTTATGGGGTTATTGGTTAAAAAAAGTGAAATTCTACAGTTTTACCCCTAAAAATGGCCTAGAGAAGATTTTTGTTTCAATAAACGTAGACTTTCACTTAAAAAGCATTAGATGTTTTCTGAAAGAAGAGAACATAAATGTTTATTTAAAAACAATATAAAGAAAATTGTTTATTGCCATCTGCCAAAACTTTACTACAATGGCACCTACATCCTCATACAATAGTACAGTATATCAAATAATCAGGATTTGTTATTAATAAAATAACAACAAAAAATGCAAAAAATACAAAGTCTAAAAAAACAATTGCCACAAACCATTATTCTTCCCATTTTAGAGGTAACCTGAAAATTGTTTTTTTTTAACTTTTAATACAATTGCCAATTAGTCCTAATGGTTCTCTAATTGATTGGCTTCACTTGTTTCCTGTAATTCCTCTTTAAAGCAGTACTATGGTCTGTCTGAGATTTCCAAGAAGTCTAATTAATGAGTGTTAATATACTGAAAAACTTTGGTTCTTTGTACATTTTGATTGATATTAGTACCCAATGTAGCTTGTTTTTATCTTCTTTCACCTTTGATTGCAAATGATAGACTCTCTGCAGTAATTACCCGTACCCAGAGACTGTATGATGTAGGTTGAGAGCTCATAAGCAGACATGTTTATTCATGGTAAGAGGGAGAAACATAAAGGGTAACTCTACTTTAGTGGAAAAAAAAAAAAATAGAGCAAAAAAAAGAAATATCATAGTTTATACAATCACTACAAAAGCCATGCTATAGTTATTATAAATATTCAATATGCAGCCTCTGTGATTTAAATTTTAATGCAATCTGGCAACCAGGAGGCAGTTATGTACACATTTGGTGTACAGAACACTCCCAGAAACGTTGTTTCCTGCTTGTGTGATTGGCTCACCCATTTTCCCAGATGTCTGCACTAACATACATATACGTCAAATTCTACACCTCCTGCAGCAGGAATCTTAGTTTACACCATACGAGTTAAATACTTCTAAAGGGATGCAGAACCTAAATCTTTCCTCAGAACACAGGCAGTGCACTGGGTGATCACGATAAACCAGTTTATATAAAATTAGTGAAGCGCTGATATTAAACAAATGATAATAAATGAGCAGTGCTCTACTTATATAATGAATAATAATGTAATAAAAATTATTAAGTGACAATCAATATACAAACACACTGTGCTCTGATCTCATATGGATCCAATAAAGTGCAATCTTGTGATGCCCACAAAGTACACTTGTGGTAACACTCCGTGATAGAAAAATTCCCCTTTTATAAACCCTTCAAGGGTTAAATATAGTGATTTGGTAATCGTGGTCCCTTAATATAAAGGGAAAATATATATAAGTGTTTTGGTGCCTTATAAACATAAACATTGAATACGGTGCCTTTTTGATAAAATAAATCAAAAAAAAAAAAAATTCTGAGCAATGCCTAATTAAACAAATAACCCCAAATAATAGTCCAATAAGCACATATGTGTGATTTTCCAAACAGCAAAAAAGTCATGCAGGTGATGAAGTGAACTGGTGATCTTCACTCTAGTGTCAAATCCTCAAAACAGCAGAAATGCCCGATCACCTCCAAACCTTGACCCCCGCTTTTAGGATCACCCCAAACCAGGGGCGGACTGACAACTCATGGGGCCCCCGGGCAATAGGGGATCACGGGGCCCCTGTGTCCTTGCCCAAACTTAAAAAAGCCTCTGAAAAAGGTACCAGGGGCATCTCATGGGGCCCCCTACTGACCCCGGACCCTCGGGCAGTGCCCGAGTTTCCAAATGGTCAGTCCGCCCTGCCCCAAACAATCCTTAAGGGTACTTTCTCACCACAGGGAAAAGATGTCACATATACTCCTTTATGCAGCAACTCCTCTCAGCTTCCTTAAGATAATGGTACTGCAATGCAGCTCACTCTCCACCTTCTCCACTCAGGATCATGTTAGTGAGATACAAAAACAATTTCCACAATGTGACTGGAATACTTGGGGCTTCACTACCTGATTGCAGACATTACATACCACTAGGTAGAAATCATCATGAGCTGGGTAATGTCCAAATAAGTGCATGTCCTCTTTATTTAGCCTCATAACCTCCCTGCTATTTCCACCCTCTTTTCCAGTCTCTTCTAAATCTACATTGTCGGAGCAGTGTATTTTTGTGGCGTCAATCCAAATGGACCACGGTTTGCCCAGAAAAGCCTCCGGACTGGGCGCTTTGCGATAAACCAGACCCTCTCATTCAGATTCAGTCTGCAAAAGACACTGTGAAGCTATTTCTTCAGACCTACAAAAGGTAGGAATCTGGTGCAACATTTGTTAAAATCCCTGCAATGTACATTGATCACCCAGAGGGGAGTGTTTATTTTTTTTTTTAACAAGTGGAGTTACTTTTTAATCAATTAGATCATACATATATTTTTTATTTTAAATTAATTTTTATTTTAATGAATAAATATAGTATATAACAACAGTTAACATAGCTACATATACAGTATATACTGTATATCTACATTTTCTCTTATTTTGATGTTGTATGTTTGGTATTAAACCAAAAATGTATTATATTGCAGATTACCAAACATTAGATGCGTTGGCTGCATTCGTTTTCTTTTTTTTGTCTTTCTTTCCTCTGTTTTCACCTGGTAATCTGGCTAGTAACACAGCTCTTCTGTTAGTGAGACACATCTTTGGCTGTGTGAGCACAGGAGGTACAGCAGTCTTCAGCATTGTCAGTCTGGGGGGAGGGTAGTGTTAAAAGAGAAGTACAGCCAAACAAGCTTCATTTGTTCTGCACGCCTGTGGCCCATTTGCAGCCAACAACGGGCTGAAGTCTGCTGTCGGCTAACATCACTCAGCTGATCCATACTCAGGAAAGATCCAGAGTTAAATGTTGGGATTCACCCAGATCCATGGACCGGCACCTGGCTCAGCCTCTCAGAGATCCGCTCCCACCCCCTCCACAGCCCACCGCTCAAGTGAGTGCGGGGGGTGCAGAGTGGCGAGCAGTCTCACTGACTGACAGTCACCAGCAATCTGCTCATGGAGAAGTGAGAACTGAGCGATCAGCACTCTTAGTTCTCAGTGTTAGGGCCGGCAGGGGATTGATGCTTCATCCATCTAGGTAGGTATAATTTATAAAAAAAACAAAACTAAACTTCTCTTTTATATGTGCTAGATGATTTAGATACACTAACAAAATTGAAGCCAAACTCCATCTAATACTTTGTAAGCAATTACAGAAAATAGTTTCTTTCCTTTTGGGATAAAGGTTGTACATAAATAAAATAAAATCTGTTCATTACAAGTACTCCTGTGAGTGGTAAATGGTTTGACTAATCCCTGGAACTGCTACATCTGAAAGAGAGCTTGTTCTTTTGAGAAAAAAACAGCAGACTTAGTTAGGCCATAGATGGGGAGAAAACCTCATCATTAGAAAAAAAAAAAAATCGGTCATTCAATCGCCTGACGTTACCACCATTGGTGAAAAAAAGTTGTCTGATTTTCATCCTGTCTACGGCCGGCAAATATAATAGCGGTGTCCTTGCAGAGAGCTCCACTATTATATTTGACAGAAGAAATAGAATATGAATAAGAAGAAGAAATAGAATATGAATAAGCAGAACAAAAAGAAGAAATAGAAAATGAATAAGAAGAACAAAAAGTTGCAACATTGTATCTATTTGTATCCATTTCGGATACAGATGTTTCTATTCGGATACAAATAGATACAATATTGCTATACTTTTAAATGTCAAATATAATATCGGACTGAAATTTTTTTTTTCCCTCTTCTTCTTCATATTCTATTTCTTCTTCTTCTTCATATTCTATTTTGTCTTCTACTTCTTATTATTCATATTATATTTCTTCTTTTCCTTCTTCTTGCTGGTCACTGCTCATGCGCATTTTTTAAAATCGGTAAAAAGATCGGCCTTCCAACATGACCGACAAAAAAAAAGTATCAAAATCACGAAAAATGGCTGACCGATTACCCCACTAACGATCCGAAAATCGGCCGATTTTGTTTTTTCGTCCGCAAAATCGGCCGGTTTTCTCCCCGTCTGTGGCCTGCATTACTGCCTGGATCACTAGGTGAAAATAAAAGAAAGGAAGCCTAAAAAAAGAAAACTAAGGCAGCCATCACATCTAATTGGTAAGCTGCATTATAATAAATGTTTGCTTTTGGGTTTAATAGCACTGCAACAGTAATTATCTTCAGATTTGCTTGCAATTTTCTCCTGAGGCTACTGAGAGCTGCAATGTGCAGATGCAAACAAATAGGATAATCTCATCAGTGTTATATGTCTATACTACACTGACTCTAAAGTGCATATAAATGGCTGCCATATGTTATAGAAGATAGGAGGGGATGGAAAAACAGAAAACTGAAGGGGGGGGGGTAAATATAACTGAAATATGAAGAATGCAGAGGAAAAAAGTAAAGCAGAAAAAAATGGTCAAATATTATATAATTTGCTGAATGTCTGTTTGCATGCCATGACTTCCATTGCAGCAATCTGGAGTGAGATGATAGTTCAGTGCACATTTTCCAGCAGGGAAAGCTTCCCAGTATGAGGGTTCAAGGGCAGAAAGATAATCTGCTTTCATCAAACATTACACATTCAGATGTAGACACCTCGCAGTCAAAGGTATCATGTCGTCTTTGAAGTTCTAAAAATGAGATTTGGGCTCCTTAGAAGACACGCATTAATTACCACTGTGTATTCAGTCGGAACAACCTCCTGGGGTTTCAGTTGGAAGATTTGATAAACCTTTTAGGGGGAAAAAAGTCAAATAGCAGATCTGACAGTGCTGATATTCATATCAAATGTACAGCTCTTTGGCAGACAATTCATCTGGATATAATTTCTGCTCTTTACGCCTTTAGACACTGCGATTTTGTTTTAGAGATTACTCGGTATAGCCGAGGACTAATTTTATTTTTTGGCACAACGATAGAACCTGATTTCCAGATGTAAAAGTACTGCCAAAAAAACTTCTAAAAGTAATTGCTGTATGTGTACATTATTTATCTTGTGATAATAAATTTCAATAAGATACAAATAATATTAATGCGTCTAGGATTTTGTCTGCAGAACAAAAAAACATTTATAAGGTTCATAAAGGAAGAGTTTACCAACGAAATCATTATTATTGATTTAGTTTAATTAGTTTTTGTTTCACAACCAGATATTTATTTCCCAATTGTATTTTGTTTAATGCAGCTAAAAACATTCAAAGTGTGTGTAAAAAAACAAAAAGTGTGCAAAGTATTACATTTTGTTTTCTTTAGAAAGCAGCCACAGCCTGAATAGAAAAGCTTGCCCCTGCCAGCATGCTCCAGAGAAAAGCCCTTGCTGTCTATATAGAAGCAGTGGTACCTCTGCAGAGGCCTGAAACATCCCATGCTTGAGTTACAACTAGAGCTCTCCAATCAACATGGAGTGTGAGCTGTAGGTCTGACTCTCAAGTCGCTAGTTAACCAAGAAGAACAATTCTGCTGGATCACATGGCTGTGAGACTGCATGGGATAGCTCCTAGGGAGGTGAGTGTTGCAGAAATAGCTGTTTTTTATTATTTTTAAAAGACCTGGGAAGTAGATTTTCAGAGTTAAAAAGAAATTGAGTTTTCATCTCTTATGACAGTGGTAGTCAACTTTCTTGATATGGGGGGGCTCAAGTGCATCACGAAAGAGCTGCACATAAAATTCAGTGAATATTCATTATAAAAGACAGCAGACGCACAACAGGAACTATCAAAGAGTATGTAAGCGAGCGCTAAAGAATAGACAAGAATAATTGATTATATATGGGTAAATGATTATCAAAATAGCTGCTGGCACTCAGGATATAGGCAACAGTCCCAATATAAACGTGGTGGAAAAAGTGCAGCGCTATAAACGCATGAAACATAAAATAGCTCAAATCATGCAAAATGAATAAACTGCAAAAGTGTGTGTAATTGTGCAACTGGGTGAATCAATAAATGTCCCTGATGACAATATATATCACATAGCGAGCAGTACACAGCAAAAGTCCTCAAATTATTGCAATATATCCAAGTGAAGAAGTGCAAACGTGCAAATATTCACAAAGGGAGTCCACCGCCTTTAATGGATGTACACTCACCAGAAAGCAAACAAAATTGCGCATCTGTTTAAATCTGTCACATCTGGGGGTGCCGTGGTATAATGACAGCTCCGGGTTTAATCATGCTGCTCCATCCGTACACAAGTGGGACAGGTCTCCTTTAATCCTGGGGAAAATCAGCTCAACCACAGGAGCCAGAAAGTGCTTGTATAGTGTAGTATTTATTAATATGCTCAAAGAACAGTAAAACATTCACGTGGAGAAAATCAGTATCAAATCAAATACCAAGATGGCCACCGCTCTGTTCCTCCGAAATAGTCAAAGACTAAGGTCATGATACAGGGGATTATCAGAGGCTTCTGGACATAATACCAAAGATGGTCATGGATTGCACACATGATACCGGAGATAGTCAGAGAGTGCAGACATGTTTCAGAAAACTGTCAGAGGCTGTGAACATGCTATAGGAGTTGCTGGAGACTGGGGACATGCTTCAGGAGACAGTCATAGACGTAGGACTATTGTACAACAGTGCAGTGCTAAAAAACATAAATATGTGATATCAATGAGAAACAAAATAATTCATCAGATATTAAGTATCCATAAAATAATCCAAAACACAAAACAGAAAGTTCATATAGTTTCCATGTAAAAAATAGTATGTTCGCAAAAAATTCTCCACCTAATTGACTAAGAGGAATACTCCAAACACCATGTGATCACCTCAAGTACACATGCAGTACCTTATCAGAAGTTACAGTATATGACCACGTATGAGGATATGGTCATAAAGCATTCAAAGTATATAGACATCTGCTCCTGAAATCCTCTATTGACTACTTCAAATCCAATGCTCCAGACCAGGCATGCAGATGACATATAAAGAGAACTCTCAGTGTAGTAAAAGTCGGTAAAACCCTCTGATGATGTCTGTGATGAAACGCGTAAGCTCGGATCATTGGATGTGCCTCAATCCCCTCATGTTTTGCATTGTACTGG